ACAGTCTGCTCCCGGTGATGGCACCGTGTGAGTGGATCTTTTGGAGAATGAAAGGGACAGATGTGTCCCATGTTTTGGTTGACACCATGGCTGAGAGAAAGGGACAGAGTTGAAAGAAAACGCATAGTGGAGAAAAAGAATTCCAAAGAAACTGGGTCACCAGAGTTGATAAGGAAATTTAGAAATACAAAGAGAAATATCATTGTTCCCACAGTCTAGATCCCTGCCTCCACTCCCTACTGTGAACTGTTTACTGGTATTTCCCCACGTGTAAAATTAGAGGGGTACACCAGATGGCCCCTCAGTGGCCTTTCAGCTTTAATGTTCTCAGAAGCTAATCTTTTCAATGAGCTTGGGGAAACCGATAAACATTCTCTCTTAGAGGAGAGAACTATTTGGTGATGTGAATCAACTCGATTAGACACAGAAGCTGACACACACAGAGACAGTCATTGAACACCTAGGTTAGAAAAAAAAATTAAGAGAAGTGTTCTCATGACCCCAAACAACGCACGTTCAGATTCTTCTGGCAGTTGCGTAGCGTCTGTTCTGAAAATTAAATTGTGTTTTGAAATTACTGCTTTAGTATATGCACAATGTGTGTCAGAACATTTATGTAATTATGTTAAAAAAAAAAAAAAAAAAGCTCCAGTGTCCATGGGTACCGAAAGGCAGCTATAAGCAAAAATACCAACTTTCCAGTCTCTCCGAACCTGGCGGTTTAGAGATGGTCAGCATAGCCCGGCTGGTGACAATGGATGTTGAGGGCTTGGTCCAATCAACTGGTTAAAACACAATTGTTTGGAAGGAAAATGTTCAATCGTTTCCATTTATCTGCCAGAGGCAATTATCTGATTACGTTTAAGGGACTCCAGTCACAAATGGTTCTTCTACCATTTAGATGAACAGGCGTGAGTTGGTTGGGTCTGCACCATTTAACTAACCACATTTGCGCCTGTTTGCAATGGAGTGACTGAGGCAAGGGGAGAGCAGACACTGCTGTAATTTCTAAAATGAGCGGACTTCAGGTGGTACCAACAATTAAAGCACTTGGCTGCTAACTGAAAGAGAGGAGGTTCAAGTCCACCCATAGATGCCTTGGAATAAAGGCCTGGGGATCTCCTTCCAAAAAATTAGCCTGTGGAGGGCCCTTCCACCCTGAAACACGTGGGTTTGTCATGATCTGGAATTGACTCAAAATCAAATGTTCGCTTGTTGTTGTTTTTCTACCTTAAAAAAAAAACAAAACCCGTTGTCATCAAGTCAATGACAACTCATAGCCACCCTATAGGACAGAGTAGAACTGTATCATAGGGTTTCCAAGGAGCGGCTGGTGGACTCAAACTGCTGACCTGTTGGTTTTCTTTTAGTCATATATTAAACGGGAGCCAGTGGGGTCCTGTACAGAACCCCTTAGGAGTGGTTATATAGTCTTTGGCCTCATGAGTAGGAGTTCAACCCACAGACTCTGGGGATGGCCGAGGTTCAAATCCTGGTTCCAACACTTATTAGCTGCGTGATTTTAGTTACTGCCTGCTTTGACTTATTCACACATAAGATGAGGATACTAATAGCTCCTAACTCTAAGGGTTGCTGTGGTGATTAAATGAATTGATACAGATGAAGAAGTAGAACCATGCCTAGCACATAGTAAGCACTCTGTAAATGCTATTTTGTCTGGAAGATTTTGTCACCAGGGAGGGCATTAATTAGGAAAAAAATAAGCAAGCATTTCTTTGTTGTAATATTGAAAGGGAGAAAAAGGGGGAGATTTAGAGATAATTTGATGTGATGGTAGGGTGGATGCCAAGCACCTAGGGAAACATAAAGGAGCTAATACATATAAGGAAGCTACTACATACCAGATGGAGTCCCTGGGTGGCAGAAACAGTTAGGTCTTTAACTACCAGCTGAAAGGTTGGTGGTTCGAGTCCACTCAGAGGCACCTTGGAAGAAAGGCCTGGTGATCTACTTCCAAAAAATCAGTCATTGAAAACCCTGTGGAGCACAGTTCTATTCTAACACACATGGGGTCATCATGGGTTGAAATTGACTCAATGGCACCTGATTATGTTCTAGACACTGGGCTAGGCACCTTACCTGGGGCAACTCATATAAGCTTTCCAACATCCTGAGAAGTAGTTAGTATTATAGGTGAGGGGATTGAGAGCTCAGGAATGCTAAGTCACTTAGTTGAGATCACAGAGCTAGTAAACGGGTGAGCCATGATCAGACTCAGGTCTGTAGACTCCAACCCCCTGGTCTTTGCACTGCAGAATGGTACCTCCTTCATGATAAGGCATGGAGATAGGGGCACTTAAGCCAGATGTCTACAGCAGAGGCTGTCAAAATTTTTGATCTCAGGACCTTACCCTCATGAAAAAATTATTAAGAATTCAAAAGAGCTTTGATTTATGTGGATGATAACTATCAATACAGAGCATATTAGAAACTATAAGAGAAATTTTTAAATATTTTTTATTTATTAATTTAAAACAGCAGTAATAAACACACGTTAACATAAATAGCATATTTATGAAAAATACCTATATTAACCAAAACAAAACACAGTAATGAGAAGAGTGGCATTGTTTTACATTTTTTGCAAATCTCTTTAATGCCTAGCTTAACAGAAGACAAATGGATTCTCACTCAATCCTTTGAATATGTTGTTTTGGTTGAAATATATAAAGAAAATCCAGCCTCACACCAATATGTAGGTGGAAAAGAAAGGAGTATTTTAGGAGATCTTTCAGATAATTGTGGGCTTTCTTCTTTGATACCACACCAAAATTCAACAAGTGATAGTTTCTTAATAATTAGTGGCCGTGTGGAATCTGAGACCATATCATCGAACTCTTCATATATGTTAAATTAAAAGCCATTGGTCTGTCTTCACTTGGAATAGATCTTTTACCCATGCTTGATTTTGTAACATCATGCACTGGCTATTTTGGGAAAATATTGGTTCACTCAGTTACGTAGAGCTTCCAAATGTTGACACATTTCTTTATTTAATATCAAAAACTAACATTTATTAATATGAGCACCAATCTCATCAGAAAAGTCATTGAGCATTGGGAAGCTACCAAACTCACAGTGGCAGATATAAGTTTTTCACAATTCTGATTTTCATGTGAAGTCTTGCACTTTATCATTGGAAACGAATATTATGAGTTGCTGTCCTTGAAATGGCAGACATATACTGCTGATTTTCAGAAAATGTCTGCCAAATACCAAAGTTTGAATAACCATAGTTTGTCTGTCAATCATTTTTCAAGTAAAAATTGTGGGGTTTTTTTTTGCAGCTAGTTCAGCTCGCAACTTGAACAATTGTGTATTTTTTGCAACTCAGTTGTGTGAGTGTATTTTCACAAGATAGCTGTCTTAGTTCTCTAGTGCAGCTATAACAGAAATACCACTGGTGGGTGGTTTTCACAAACGGATTTGTTTACTCTTAGTTTAGGAGACTAGAAGCCCAAATTCAGGGCACAAGCTCTAGGGGAAGGCTTTCTCTCTCTGTTGGCTCTGGGGGATCAGGGGTGGATTATCCAATAAACAAGGTAAGCACAGGCTTACTTGTACTTAATTCCTAATCTGTTTTTCACCACATCAAAGATTCTGCTTCTAGGTATGGCAGCATCTGTCTCTCTTCCAACCCCAACAGCACCTTTCTACAGAATCAAAGCCTCTTTCCAAATTTACAATCCCTGGCAGGGGCGGATGACCCAGGAAGCAAGGTAAGCATGGGTTTACTTGTGAACAATTTCACATGTGTTTCAGCAAAGATGTAGTGAAACCCATGTGAGATTGTTTATTATAGATTAGTAAGTAAGCACAAGTAAGCCCATGTTTACCTTGCTTATTAGGTCATTTGCCCCTGGGGAAGGTCCTTGTCTCTTTTCAGCTTCTGTTTCTTGGTTCCTTGGAGATCTCATGTGGCGTGGCACGTATCTCCCCTCATTTGCGCTTCCTTGCCTAACCTGCTCTTTTATAGCTGTGAGAGACTGAGGTAAGGCACACCCTGCACGAATACTGCCACATTAACATAACAAAGAAAACCATTACCAAATGGGATTATAACCACCGGTATAGGGGTTAGGATTTACAACACATATTTTGGGGGGACACAATTCAATCCATAACAACAGCTATGTATTTCGGTATGCAGAAATGCTTTATGTATACTTCCCATTTTATCATATAGAATATTTAAAAAATGTGCTTTTAGTAATCAAGATTCAAAAAAATACTAATAACAAATTTCACTGCTTCGTCAAGAACATTTTGAGGGAAACTAGAATTTTCTTTTTTCCTGCAAGTACTTGGAGGTATAGAATGTGAAGGGCATCAGTAGTTGCTGCCACTCTTTGCTTCGTGTAAAAGCGATAGCAGTTACCGGCACCATTAGTTTTGCACCGTCAGCACAAAGGTCAAGCAGTGAAAACGGCAAGTAACATCTTGGTAGTATCATGAAAATAGTTTTTGACTTCATGGAACCACTAAAAGGACGTTGGGGACCTCTAGGAATCACACTCTGAGAATCTGGTTCTAAAGGATTGTTGTTAGGTGTGCCACGTGACAGAGTAGAACTGCCCCATGGGTGTTCTAGGTTGTCATCTCTATGGGAGCAGATCGCTAGGTCTTTCTCCTGCGAAGTCACTGGGTGGGTTTAAACCGACAACCTTTCAGTTAGCAGCCGAGTGTTTAATAGTTGCACCACCAGGGCTTCTTTCTAAAGGATTACCTGAAAGAAATAATTAGAAAACTTGAGGCTAATGTTCAGATAAATGGTAAGCAGAAGGCCTGAATGCATATGATTTGACTAAATATAATGTTAAAGTGTTTTATTGGGAAGCAGTAGATCAATTATGCCAATAAAACCAGTGCCGCATGAGTCCTCAGTCTTTTCCAGTTGAGGAGTTTCTTTAGCTTCGATCAAAGACATAGAATTTTAATTGAAGTTCTATTTAAAAATGATTAATGGGAGGAAAACTTACCTTAAGAGAAAGACTCAACAGTACATGCCATCAATCTTCTGTTTCTGAAATTTTTGGTGAGAGCACATTTCATACAAAAGACCTAGGAAAGGAAAAGGAACAAGTGAGAATTAAATCACAAAGCACTACAGAGTTTTCTATCATCATCACCGTCAACATAATCACTATCATCGTCATCAATATTATTACTTGCTTGATAGTTCCTCATACTTAATTCTGATTTAAAATATCTCCACAGGCTGGTGTCACATGTGAAGAGCTTGAAAGTCACCATTCCCATCTTCACAACAAAAGAAAAAAAAAGCTGAAAACTGAAAATTGACAACTCTTGTTAGATTTATCATAGAATTGAGGTCACATGGCAAACCCCTGACCCCAAACCTGGAGATACAGGTGGTTTTTGTTGGTAGGTGCCATCGAGTCAGTTCTGACTCATAGCGACCCCATGTACAACAGAACGAAACATTGCCTGGTCCTGTGCCATCCTCACAATCGTTGTTATGCTCGAGCCCACTATTGCAGCCACTGTGTCAATTCATCTTGTTGAGGGTCTTCCTCTTTTTTGCTGACCCTCTACTTTACCAAGAATAATGCAGTAGATAAAGAAAAACCCAGTCTACCGTGACCAGCTGCTGGACGTAGCGTGGAGTATGAACACTTAAATGTTAATTGACTAATTGGTGGACGCTGAGCATGAACTAGCTCAGGAGACAAAATCTCCTGGCAGCCCAGGCTTAGGCAGAGTGCTACACTTCCATAAGTCTTATCCAGGAGCCCCACCAGTTTCTTACTGTGAAGATCGGAGAAAAGTCCCCTTGAGCTTCTGGCAGGGAGATGGGGAAAGTAACCTTCTGTAAATATATGTCATTTTCTCTCCT